AAACCCGGAAACCTTATAACATAACTAAATGATTTAACTAGCTCCATTTTTCTCCCCCTATCTCCCCACCCCAACCCACAAAATACATATACAGAAATATTAGTAAAATAAAAAATAAGTACTTACATGGCGGTCGCCTACGGGGATTTTAATCGAGTAAGGAGCTGAAGGTTGGGGCAGAGTCTCCTCAGTATCGCTATCAGGCTGCGTTGTCAATGAAGCCCCAATGGCAGGTCGATTCAAGAAGCTTCTCCCACTTTTTATTCTCCTTTTTCTTGCTCTAGAAGTTGTTATTACTCTAGAATTCGGCACAATAAGAACTGATAAATGGGTTTTTCTCGTGGAGGAGAAATAACTAAGAGGCGAAAAATGAGAAACTATTTTGAAATTGCTGGAACTTTGAGTTTTGAATCGAAATGGGCGGGTGTCGAAGCAACCATTTGGGCTTGCAGTTGGAGCTATGATTCTTGCCATGGCTTTGCTTCTCTTCACTGTGTAGTGAGAGAGTGTAGAGAGAGGCTCTTATCCATTCAAGAAAAGTGGTCTCTTATATTTGGTTAATTGTAATTGAGGCGCGAGACGGATACAAGGGCAAAACCTGAAATGAGAAACGGATTCGGGTGGTCGACCCGGCTTAGGATTGATCGAGTCAAAAATTGTACCAATGTTATAAAAGTGGGTTCAATTTGGTATTGTCAATTTAACAAGTAAAACTTGGATCGACCTCGAATTTGAGCCGGTTAGACGAGAAAAACTTGTCATGCCATTGAAAACCCATCAAAGAAATCGATAATCTTATTGATTTTAAAAATTCGTCGAATTGGTAGCGATTTGGCCAACTTTATAGGATTAAATTTTCTCATAAAAAATTTAACTAAAAAAACTTTACGCCTAGCAAACTTCAAATATTTTTAATATTTATTTTTCTATCCTGGAAATGAAAGTTTATTAGATAGTACCTTAAGTCCCTATTTGACAATATTTTTTGAGAAAATGAATTTTTGAATAGTAATTTTTAGATAATGTGTGGTTAAGAATTAAAAAAAAATACTGAATTTACGTGAAAAATATTTTATTTTAAGAACGTAGGATTGAAATTTGAAAATAAGTACGAGAAAACTAAAAATATTTTATTACTCAAATAATCTTTTTCATTTTTAAAGATTTTATAAAAAATAATAGAATTGTAAACATGA